ACGGCTTCAACAAAAGGGCGTCTCTGACCGCCTCCACCCCCTCCACCGGGGGGGTTCGTACGCGGCTCCTCGTGGTGTCCATGCGCAATGTGTGGATTGAGATCCATAATCCATAAGACACCTGGTGGCTCCACCCCCCCCCAGATAGTCCCAGGGCCAAACATGTGCTTAGTACCCAGACAATGTTTACCATTTTTCTCCCTGAAAAGGTAGGCTTCTCTCATCTGTTTTCAGGTGCATTGAGCATTCCTCTTCAAGCAATTACTTTAGTTATGCCCTTTGTTAAGAAGCTCTTATTTCATGTAGACTCTTCTCTACACATGAAGCCTCTTTGCTGTGCCCTTAACTGCCTTTGACTAGTCCGGTCTTGCTCAGAGAAGTATATTGTCGTGTTCTGTTGTCCCGGGGAACCAATTCTAATTGTCCTCCCCCCAGACCCTTATTGTTCCTTTGGTTTGCCCAAAAAAAGCCCTGCATTTGCACCATTTTCCCCCGAAACTGCCTGTGTCTAGTCTCTTCCAAAGTCTAAACTTGACGTACTTTTCCTAGTCATTAGAGAGTGTTTTTCTGGACTATGTTGGTAACCGCATGTATAAGAACCATTCAGATTGCCAAGTTATATGATTTAGTGCAATTAATTTGAGTGTTATACCAACAGCTGTCTGGGTTTATATGTTCTGTGATTGTTGAGATGTTTTATCTGAATTGGCAGCACAGTTTGTAATGTAATGGTAAACTGCTTTGATGTGTGAAGTAATTGTTGGATATTCCTGTCAGGACAGATGTCACCTTAACTGTAATCCACTTGCGTTTTTGGTCTGGTGGCGGCTTGTCCACGGACAACATCTCTATAAAGCATCTACCTCATAGTTTCAGTAACGTAACTTGTTTTGATTTAAGGTTCTCCCATACATGTACAGATGACTAATAAGGCTTTGCATGTGCTTGTTTTTTATTTGTGTAGCGGTATCAGTTAATTGGTCAGAACAAAGTTAAGCAAGGTGCAAACCGGCAGAGCTTTTACCCAGGGCCCCGGTTAAGTCACTTGAGGGGCTCCTGCTCCCCTTGGTGTAGTGACTGTTTGTGGTCAAAAGGGGGCCCCCAAACTTAAGCGGCCCCACCAAAATGGATAGTTCGAGTGGTGACAAACACCGCAGCTCCGGTTATGTGCTCAGTGCCTGACTCTGCCCTATTTTATCTACAGGCTACAAGGAAGAAATTGAACTTTGATGCCATCGAACAAATACTCTTCTGCTATCATGGTGGAGAGTGACAAGCTTACAGCAACGGTAAGACCAGGCTCAGGGCCCCAGTGCTGTTTCGCGGCTCCTCTTCAGGGTGCCGGAATGTATGCGCCCTACACCCGATTCTGGAAAACGCTCCCTGCCACATTGCTGCTCTTTGTGCCCCTGGTGGGTATTCATACCTGAGTGCATGCAGATCACGTTCGGTGTGGTTTAATACAAAGACAAACTTCTGCCTTATAGTAGGTTTTTAACCCCTTTCCCACGATGAGCATTTATTATTCCGTCACCCTTTGTCCACCCTTGCGTTTCCAGGCCAGCTCTACCTCTCCCATTAACACGGCTGCCCTTCAGAAACTACTCCCCCTCACCCCCATCTCCCTTCCTCTTTTTACACAGTCTAATGATTTACCTCCGATAGCAAAACCACGCAGCCGGTCTCGGCTGGCGATGCGACTGGACAGCTAAGCTGACGCCCCCACAAAGGGCCCATTATGCCCCAACCACAGACTCGACTTGTCGTGATCGTGCACCGGTTTGGGTTTAAATGCGAGCCCCCTTTTCGCTCAGCTCGCATGCGCCCCCTGTACCGGCCAGCACCCGCGGCCGCACGTGCTACGGTATCTTTCCAGGGAATTTCCGTTTGTTCGCGTGAATCACCCACACATGCACGTAAATGTGTCCGCATACAGATAACATACGGACATACACAAACGCGCATTCATCAGGGAGGCAGCAGTGTTGCTTCTCCCCTCCGGGTTTTTTTTTGGTTCGAATCCCACCTCCTGTGTGTATGTACGGGGTTTGCATGTTTTCCTTGAATTGCGTGGGTTTCCTCCCGGTTCTCAGTTTACCTGCCACAGTCCAGGGTAGGGATCGTCAACGTGTCCGTACACGGGCAAACCTGTCCGTGGAAAGACTCATCTGTGTCCGTGGCAAAGCGTTTTGATTGAGAAAAAAAGGATGTAGGCTACGTTTTTAAATACCACGTGAATGCTTATTTATAAGAATGTCCGTCTGTATTCGCCATGGAGTTAATTGAACCTTGGTCCAGGGACATTAATTTCGGTTGAAATAGTGCTTCTAAATTGCTTCCAGCGTGTGTACCCAGCGATCTGGCGCTGCTTCCTGCATGGGACTGGCTCCGGCGCAGCCCGACCCCGTATTGACTTAGCGGTCGGAGGATGGTTGGAAACATGTGGAAATATGCTCGCATCATACGATCTCGCACGTGTAACATAAACATGCTCATAAATATTACAAATCCCGCTAACCTTTAGGCTAACTGTGTAGTTTGCCTGTGAAATGTAGACATTTACAGTCACCCTCAAGCTCACTTTTACCCTCTAAAGCAAATTTAACCTGGAAGTGAGAAGCTTATAAAAAGTGCCCCGCTGTAATTAAGCTTGACGTTTCTGTAAAACGACACGTCAGAACACGACGAAGACTCGAACTGGAATACTAAAGCGCCCAGACTTTCTCTCAATATTTTTTTATACTGCTAGTAAATTTGTAATTACTTTTAAATGGGGAACTGAAACCCGTGCTGACGTTTAATTGCTTGCATTAAACCGTATTTCGTGAAGCCTTGAACATAGAGAATTGGCTTCAGTTTTAAAGAGCTGCATCATTTTGCCTTGACAGTGCGCATAGTAGGATTGACGTGCGCACCGTAAATGTTTCCTAGATGTTTTTGCCGTCATCGTCGGCGTATTTGGTAAAATCAATCCCAGCACCATTTCCTGAATTTGCAGACCATAAGTTTTGCAGGGAGGTTCGGCACATGAAACGGTAAACGGCGGCGTGAACGACGTCCGGTAAATTCCTCATTAAGATTAGTGTGACCATAATTTACGCAAAAATGATTACTATGGAAAGTGTGACTGGATTCCAATTTTGTATTCCTGGCTTGAAAAAAAATGTAGCCCTCAGCTTTTTAAGTGTTATTGTAGCACAAAGAAGATAATTATACTGCTATTAAAATATGATCCAGATTTTTTTGCCATAAATCGACGTAATGGTTAAACTTTATTAATATAATAAGACTACATCCTTCTCAGTCTGAAACAGCATAAGACCTACAGGTGTTTGCACACCGTCTATTTGATACGTTTTTATTATTATTTTTTAAGTTAAGCTGTATTTGTTACCGTGTAGTTCTTAAATTCCATGACAGGCTACTTTATTCATTCACGAAAAACTACTGTAGTTGTCTGTGATCAGAAATTTACGCCTTATGTTTGTACAATAAAATTCATTTTAGGATAGCATATTCAACGATAGCAGCAATTTCAAAATGAAAATGCGATATCGCTTCATCACAGCACGTGGAATCCGCCTTTCACCTCAGGGTATGGTTTTCTCAGTTTAAAGCATAGACCTTAAGAGGTTTTTTTACGGAATCTAAAGAGAGAGCGGACATTTAACACCAGTGTCTGGATTTTTGTTTCCTGGAGGTCTGTTGGGATTATCTGTATTCAGGGCGTGCAGGGTTGGGTCAGGCTGCGCTTCTGCATCTCACCCATGAAATGGCTGTTTCTTCGCAGTATTTTTCACCATGTTTCAGGTCCTCCGCTTTGGGTGTTCCTGTGTGTGTCAGACTTTGGGTTGCTGGGTTTCACACAGCTATTCTATCACGGTAACTTGCAAAATTACTCTTGGTATTATCCAATACTATCCAATAATATTATCCATTCTTTCTCCCCCTAAACTGAAAATTGACCATCCAGAAACCTTGAATTGCGCGAATAATTCCAAGTCACCGTTAGATTCTCTAATAGCAGTTATGCAGGGATAGATTCAGTCCAAACATTTTTACTAGTTTATCCCTCCCCAAAGTCTTTAGTTCAGACCCATGTACATAAACCTTGAGGCATAAGAAGTACTTTTGGTTTCCATTAGCGTACTTTGGCAAAAACAAGTATTTACATGAGTAACTTGCTGTATTACCTCAGTAATGTGGAGTACTTAGATGTGCAAGATGCATGCAGGGAATAGTCAGATTCTGTTTATTTAATGTCAGGCTGTAATGTGTAATGCAGTGAGCACTGCCGCAAGGTACCTGGCGCTACAGTTTCAGCTACTGTTGGGTGCCAGTTGCACTGGATGTAGCATAGTGCTTAATGACGTGGCATGGTTGTTGGTTCAAGACCCAGGAAAGAGTCTCCCCTCTACAGTTGAATAAACCCGGAGTCCTAACCCTAATCCACCCAACCTGAACTGCCACATTAGTCAGATGTGTAGATGCGTAAATTGGAGGTTGTCCTGGACAAATGTGTTAGTAATTATAAATAGATACGGAGCGCATGCTGATACAGGACGTTGCCACACCCACCACATGACAAACCACCTCAGGGATGAGAACCCAGCTGGTGATACCTCAGCACTAGTCTGAATGGAACAGTGTGAAGTTTTTTTCCAGGGGTGCCAATTTTGCCACCAACCCCCAGATTTTCCCTGAAAGTCCGAGGGCCTGCTTGCAGGGCTGTGATGAAGCAGTCGCAGGTTAAGGGCCTTGTTCAAGGGCCTGATGGAGTAGAATCACTCCTAGCATTCATGGGATTCAAACCGGCAACCTTTTAATTGCTGACACATATCACTAGCCTCAGATCCACCAATCTGGCCATTTAGACAGATAAACAGATGAAATTTGGTTCTGAGCCATTGTTTGGTAGGAATTGAACTTCAGAACAAGCAAAATATAGAGTGTAGAGAACCTCCATTACTGACCAGCCTGTTGGCCTTAGTCACCAAGGCATGAAGCCAGGATTCAAGCTGCAATCAGAGAGTTTTGGGAAGAATGAGGGCTTCCCACTCACTGTCGGTACATGCCACTGTGTCGGAGATATCCAGATTAGCTTCGGTGATGATAAGAAAGATGTTCTGATGGAGATACCAGTTCATGCAGGGAGATGCGTCTGTAACAGGACGTGTAGCTTTTTGTCTTGGTCACTGCGTGACGCTCTCGGGACTCAAACGGCAGCCATCGTGGGAAAAATCACGGTACGTTTTGCTGCACTCTGCAGACGTGAAAACCCGATGGCCACGGTGTCACCTCTAAAACGTCAACAATGACGAGTCATTTTCTGAATCTGTTCCCATGAACACGTTCCACATAGCTAATCCTGTTTTTCATTGTCTGTTAATTACGGAGAAATGTAACTGTCTTTCTGCCAAGCGATTGCTCACGCTGATTCCTGTCCAGACCCTCGGGGTTAGGATCACCTGAGCTTTTACTGGCAAATTTTCACCGTGCCACTACTATGGCCTCGATGGAAAGCGATATCGGCACGCCGACGTATGGGCACCGTCGAGACCCCATGTGAGAATCGTAGGCATCTCCAAATCTAACGTTCGCAATGTTGCATGTTGAGGGTATTTCCTGAAGTTTGTGGAATTCCCCTGAAAACGACGCGCACAACAGTTTCCTTGTTCAGAATTCCACCGAATATTTATATAATTTAATTGTGAATTCTGATGCCGTCCGTAATTCTGTACTCCTTCACCTCGCCGTCCAAAGGTCTCCGTGCCTCAGTTTCCTGCGGGCCTAATGTGGAGGTGGCCCCCCCCCCCCCCCCCCCCCCATTTTGAGAATGTGATCAAAGCAGACAGCCTGCGATCCCATTGGATGGCGCTAAATGGACCGCGTAACCACCTGGGTACAGACTGGCCTCAGGACTTTGACTTATTTTTTTTTTTTTGAAGTTTACAAAAGCCTGGTGCGTTAGAGTCCCATCTAGGCTCCTTTGTATGGGGCGGGGGGCAGGGGGGATTTGGGGAAGGAGGGAGGCCCCACAGATCCAGCACAAAAGGCAAAAAAGAAAGAATTACCCCCCAAATCACCTCATGCCACTTTTTTCTCAGGCTCCCACACCTGCTGTGATGGGCGCCGCACTGTGCGGCTCTGATTGGCTGGAACGAGCAAAGCCCCGCCTCATCGCTCGGTGCATGGTGGGCTCTCAAAAGTGCTTCTGCTGAAACCCGACACCTATCTAGGGCATGAAGAGGTTTGTGGCTGGAAAGATATCTTGGGTAGGGGACAGTAATGGGGAAGGAAACTCAACAACAGTCACAACAACAGCAATAATAGTAATAATAACGATAATAATAATAATAATAACAGTAGGCACCAGTCTCTGCCACAACCCTGAACTGGATCAGGAGTTGGAAGGTGGAGGGTTGGCTAATAAGATTGATAAGAATAATAATAATAATGGTAAATTAGTAGCATTGCTAGCTTCATCTCAGACTTCTTGCGCAAACCCACTTTTAAATTAGCCCTCAGATAGCTGGAGCACAGGCCTCGCGACGTATTTTCCAAGAAAATCCCATGCAAACACGCTCCCTCTGATCCCAGCGCTAAGCTGCCCCATTTGTCAGTCTGTCAGCGTGTGCGGCCTGCTCTTGCTGAAAGGTATCGCCTCCTCCCCCCCCCCCCCCCCCCCACATCCCCCCCGCCCCCATGGCTCTTTCAGGCATCTCCTGCAAGTCTTGTAAGTAGCTGGTGAGATGACTTCTGGGAGCTAGATATGATCTACACATCAGATCATCTTATTAGCATTAAAGACAGAACAAGTTAGATTAGATCAGTGTTTCCCAATCCGGTCCTCGGGGACCCACAGACGGTCCCAGTTCCCTACCAGATGCAAAAATGTGGAATGTCTGGCAAGGAGCCTGGAGGGTGCAAAAATATGGACCGAATGTGGGTCCCCTAGGACCAAATTGGGAGACACTGGATGGTAGATAGACACACCCCATTCATACCTATGGACAATTTGGCCACTCCAATTCAACTTAGCCTGTTTTTTGACTATAGGGGGAAACTGGAAGAACCCCAACAACAACTCAGGGGAAAACATGCAAGCTGTACATATACTGACCTAGGGGCGGAGACTCACCCTGGACCCTGAGGTGTGAGGCAGCAGTGCTCACCACTGCAGCACCGTGCCACCCTATCTGGAAATTATATGTAATATTATGTGGAATTGCGTCTTCCATTCCTTGTGAACCCATGGTAATCGTCATGGCAACCCTGAACCTGTGGATGTTGGAGGGATCTTGCCCTTGACCTTTGAACTCTGGCAAGTGTTATGTCCGTCGGGCTCCTCTGGACAGACTCTTCGCGAACACATTGCCGTCTCTTTGTCCGGGGACTGCTGCCGCATGCGTGGGGAATGGTGTCTTTGTGTGTGTGGCTTTAATCTCTCTAATGAGGGGGACCCACCCATCGTTCATTATGCCTGAAGGGACTTGCAGATTGGGGGGGTGGGGTGGTCACCTAATCTGTGACCAAGGGGCCTTGAAGCCAGTGTTGTTCCCCCCACCAGCTCAGGGAGGGAGTGGGCAGCGAGAGCACCTCTGTCTGTGTCCCCCCCCCCACAGAAGACACACTGTGTGTGACCCATGCCAACCCTCCCCCCACTACCTGAATGTAGTACAGCGATGTTTCACCCATCAGGAACTCTCGCACAAGAGAGTATCGCACATTTAAATGTGAAATGTCACTTCCACATCACGTTTTGTTTATGTATGCCCAGCTGCTCAACAATATTGGTTCCTTTGGGTAAAAGTGTCTGCTTAATAAATCAAATGTAAATTTTCAGTGTAATTGCTGTATTTCGCAAGGTTCATTTTAACACTCACTCTATGTGACATAGGGCCCGTGACAGGTTTATTAACACGGAAACCTGTTCATCTGCTCACAGACAAACCGCGTGAAGTCCGGCTAACAGACCAGGACAAACGGCAGTCCTTCCTTGAGTCCATCAGATCCTTCGAGTGACTTGTTTCACGTTGGGGGGGTGAAGTAATCTTTCAGGGCAGGATCCACATTTTTTTGTAATCTCTTCTTCAAGTTACAACAGCGCCAATTCTGGCAGATCTCTCTCTCCCCCTCCTCTTCTCTCTCTCTCTCTCTCTTTTGCTCCCTTTCTTGCTCTCTCTCTCTCTCTCGCTCTCTCTCTCTTTTGCTCCCTTTCTTGCTCTCTCTCTCTCTCTCGCTCTCTCTCTATTTTGCTCCCTTTCTTGCTCTCTCTCTCCCTCTCCCTCTTGCTCCCCATGACGATTTCGTGCTTTTCTGCCCATGATAAATGGGGGAGATAAAACGACAGTGAAATCTGAGCCCGACTCACGTCTCGCTCAGTAAGCTGGGGGTGTTGGTGTAAAGAAAATATCTATGCTGCTGGGGGTCGGGGGAGTGGGGGTGGGGGGGGGTCGCTTTCTGTGAGATGCTCGACTGCGTGTTCCGGACCTGAGGGGGGGCAAAGG